ACCATCCATTCTTCCATTGTAGGTAATATCGAGTCTTTCCACCTTTGAGCATATAAAAGTCAGGTACAACCTTTTCTGATTAACCAATGTTAGGAAAAGGCATAAGCTTTCAGCTCACAAAAGCTTATGCCTTTTCCTAAAATTGGTTAATCGGAAAAGGTCCTACCAGACTCCTTGCAATGTTTCGCTACTACAGACCAACGCTGCTCTCCTCCTACAGCGTCTACAACAATAAAAGAAATCAGTAAAAAGTCATGAAAAATTCCATATCGGGAGAATTCCTAAATTCTCTAAAATTAAACCTAGCAGAAGAGGAAAGCCATTCAATAACAAGAGATGAATCCTCCTGACTGGATTTCATCTGTTTAAATTTAATGTACATGTACATGTATATTAAATGACATCAAATTTAATGTTTGTTCCAATACCACCCACTTCCTCGTCCTGTCTCTGCTTACTTTTTGGAGTTCAGCCTCCCAGGGCACGCACGTCACACAAAAGTGGTGCGTCCCTTTTGAAGTAAAGCATTATTCCTTAAACAACAGACTTAGGAAAAAAATGGCCATTGGGTCATTCTATTTCCCATTGGAAGGAGAAATCCGATTGTATTTCCATTTCCATTATGGGAGCAGTGACTTCATTTGCATCCAATTACAAGAAGAGCCGAACAGAAGGACCCCCTGAAAGTCCAGACTTTAAAAAAAGAGATCATACAAAAATGAAAACCATCCAAGCTGAGAAGTCAAACACTGAAAATAAGGACGCCTTCTCATGTCAAGCATTTGATCTTCACTGCGTTGTAACTTGAAATGTTATTGTATGACAATATTACCCATATTCATTACACCCACTGACATAGATTAGGCTCTCACATTTGTATTCCAGTGATTATTTTTAGTTCTTCAGCCTTTTAGTGTCATTGCCATTCCTTTTTATATACCACGTTATTCTACTTCATACTATTATAGTTCTTATAGCCACAGCATCAATATTAAAAATAGTTTTACTTGCAGCTTTTAGTGAGATTGTACTTTTATATGTCATGTTAGCTATTTTTAATTATTTTTAGTTGTTATTCCAAACTTTTCTATATTAGCATCCAAATTACATATCTACATTGCACCATACATTATTGTGTCATTATTGTGTATTTTGGGTTGATGGGACAGCCTGATCCACACAACAATATTGTTGCATGTATGTTCCAATAAATGAATTTCTTTTCGAACTTAACATGAGTTTCAAGAGATTTTTTTTCACTGGGATTTGAACATAGCAGACCTGACATATTGTCTTTTTAAGTCTTCATCTTACAAACTTCTCAGTAGCATAATTTTAAAGTTCATGCTAATAACATTTTAAAAGAAGAACTTCTTTATTTTTCTAAAAATGTTGTACATACAGCATTAACGAAACAATCTTTAAACTTAAACACTTTTTAAAAAATAGAAAAGAGACAACCCCAAACGACCTAAAAATACAAACTAAGAAAGAAAAGAAAATCTACTTTATACAGGTAGTCCTCGAGTTATGACCATTTGCTCAGCGACCATTCAGTTACAGAAGTGCTGAACAAATGGCACTTATGCCCAGTCCCCAAAGTTACAGCTGTTGCAGTGCCCCATAATCATGTGATCAAAATTTGGGTGCCTTGCAGCCTGCCTGCACTTATGACCGCAGGGGTGCTTCAACTCCCCCCATCTCTGCCCTTTTGGTCCCCTGCACTCCGTGGCCCCTGCTGCCCTGTGCTCCACCAGCCCCAGCTGACTTTCACCATCTTCTTGCTCCCACTGCTGACCAAGTGTGCCTGGCCCCCTGACCCTTCACGAGGCAATTGCTGGCAATGCAAGGCCTTCTTCCTGAGGTCGTGTGGGGCAGTTTCCTCACTAGACCTGCAGAAGATGGCCTCCTGTGGCCAGCAGCTGCCTTGCCAAAGGCCAGACTGGGCATGCTCATCAGCCGCAGGAGCAAGAAGAAGGCCAGCTGAGGCTGGTGGAGCACAGGGTGGCCGGGGCTGCAGAGCACAGAGTGGTAAGGGAAGCTGCAGTCGGGGCTTTGTGCCACGCTGCTGGGCTGGGCTGGGCTGGGGCAGCTGGGGCAGCCGGGGCCTCATTCTGCAGTGCTGGGCTGGACTGGGGTGGCTGGGGCCCCGCACTCTGCTATGGTTCAGGGGCTTCTTGCAGCCCCACAGCCATGGTGCACCAAGAAGCCCCTGAGCCAAGGCGTGGCAAGCATCCCGAGAGCCGCGTGATTCTGGGGCTGCTTGTCGCCTTGCAAGGCAGGGTGTAGGGCAGCCAAAAGGGCAGAGATGTGGGGGAGATAGGCAGGTGAGGGGAGTTGGAAGGGAGGCAGTCCCGTCCCTTGGAAGAACCAAGGCTCGGGGCTGGGAGGGTCCAAGCCAGGAATGGCTTGTATCAGGGTGGGTCCTCAGCTAACGATCGGTGGAATTCACTTAACGATAGCAACGGGGACTGCCGGGATTGCCGTCGCTAAGCAATGCAGTCACGTGATGTTGTGCTTTACGACTGCATTGCTTAGCGACAGAAATTCTGGTCCCCGTCGCCATGGTAACTCGAGGATTACCTGCATTTTTTTTATATTGTCAGTAGTCACTATTTGACTAATGAGTACAGCACCATAATATCAGTAAAAAATATTATTGTAGAACATCACATCTCTGTCATAGTAACACATATTGGTGTATCCTTTGATTAGTAGAAAACATTGCCTTTTCCAAAACAGATAAATCACAGTTTTCTGACAACTATTCCTTAGTTTGTGCTAATAACATAAACCTTAGTCATTTTTTCACAGCACAGAGGCTAGACTACTATCACAGTGAGATGGCCCTAATGTTATCACTGCATGTTATTTTTGACCAAAATAAAGAAGATAATACTACCTCTACCATTACTACTACTACTACTACTGAATGATAATATAGCTTTGTTTTGTATGTTTTCATTTTCGGTCTCCCTTGTTTTCCAGCACTTCTTGTGATTATATGCAGAGGGGGAAATGTCCAGTCACTGCAGTGTGCATTTATGCGTACAAATTAGCACACGCACATCTTAGGGCTCAGCGTCCTCTGATTTCTCCCTTTTGAATTCTCTCCTTTTCATCAGTTGCTGCAAATTTTCCACTCAGCCCAGGAAACCAGGACAGGGGATCTGCAGTGATGGCCACTGACTTAAAAATGGCAGGTACCACTGGATGAAAACAAAACCCCGTCCCATTTTACATGCGTGCAATGTGCACACTGTGCATTAAAAAGGGGTGGGGGTTTAATCATCTGCCACTGTAAAGCCAGTGTCCATCACTGTGGACGCCCTTGCACCCAGATTCATGATGGCTAAAGAGGTACATTTATATACAAGGAACTAGCTTGCCAATTTTATGGGGTTAGGCTTATTTAAATTGACCCACCGAACACTTCTGAAATAACACTTGCGGTTACTCACCTATCTAAATAGTTCACAATGTTGGAATTCTTATTTTCCCTCATGACCAGAATTTCATTGATTATTAATTCCTTTTTGGGTTGCTGCTGGAGATTCATTTGTTTTATTGCCACCTGGAATGATATAATCCCCAAAACATGAGTGGGGGGAGAGAAAAATCAAAACCATTATTACGCAATAAACCCTCAAAAGCAAGGGCTGGTAGATTAAGGCCAAACGACAGCAATGTTACAGTTTGCATGTAAACCACTTTGCATACAATATCTACCTGTAACCGTTTGTAAGATAAAGTCAATATTATTAAGTATTATTAAGATAAGTCAGTATTATTAATCCCATATGGCAGATGGAGGAATTGATGTTCTGAGAAAGTAGCTTCTCTAAGTTCACTTAATATTATGACTTAGAGTGCAACCAACCCCTGGACATCCTTTGTATGTGTGGACTTCAGCTCCAAAAGTCTCCAACCAGCATGGCTATTATGGTCCACACATTGATGGGGGGAAACCACACCACATATTAATTGCTCTCAGAAATGATGGTGGCAGATGTGTTTAAAACCAGGTTAGCCTTCTCCATCGTTGCCCTCTCTGTGTAGAACAGCATTCCCCCAGATAACTGGATGGCCCTATTGCTCCTGGTGTTCGGAAGGCCATAAAAACATGGCTATTCCATCAAGCAGTTGGAATGGTGTGATCTTGTTCCATCTAGCAGAGGAACATCTACTAATGTTTTGGTTATATTGATAAATGTTCCTGGTGCTATATGTAGGCTGTGAATATTATTGGTTTTCTTTTTCTTTTTTTTAAATTGTTTTTAACCCATTTTATGGAGGTTGGGGATATATGTCACTCAGAATTGTTTGTGACTGGAGCAACCTATCAGCTCACCAAGGTCAATTTCCAGATGTGTTGGGATTGCATTTTGTAGGATTCTTACCCATTGTGGACTTCTGGAAGGAACCCAGTTGTGGAAGATAACATACATTAGTGTGTCAGGGAACAGTGAAGGACAACTTAAGATAAATTTATATATACAGTCACTCACACTTATTGTGATCCTTGACATGAGACAGGCAATTACACATTCCCATTTTTCAACTGTGCAATGTTGGATAGCAAAATGTATGAATTAAATTCTGAAATCTATAGTCCAGTTTTCTACCTTCCAGATGTTTTGGATTGCCTATTCCCATGATTTTTGATAATCAGTGAGAATGTTAGTTGTGGGCAATGGAAGTTGAAAACTTCTCTAATTCCTATTGAAGCTACAGGTAATTGAGCGTCACCTGAATATTTGAAAGCAGTCCGCTTTTCTAGATGATCCTGTACCGATAATGATGGGGCATTATACATGTTATAATTCTCACAAATAGATGTTAATCATTAAGGACTGTATCTTAACACCTTTTCTTTTCAAGTCTGATCGTTCTGACCTTCACCATAATTGTGAGAAAAACACGAACATTGAGGTGACAACTCAATCTTAACCAAACCAAAGGTGGTTCAAAGTCTTTTTCTGCTTTAATCAATCGGTGTGTGGGTCACCCTTCGGTCAATAATGACACATCACCTAACGCAAATTATATGTAATTGTGAGGCTTTAAAAAAAAATCTTTGACCCACCATTGATATTTTTCTTCGTTTTAATTAATAGGGTCAACCAACCTCCATGGTCACTTCAGTACAAATCCCAGGTCTTTACAGAGATCTTTCTTTAATTGGTATTTACAGAAAGCTTTGGAAATCAAAGGTTCTGTCCCACTGTTAAGAATCATTATCTGTGGGACCCACAAGTAGGGAACGTTGCAGGAAGGCACTCCATTACCTGAATAGAAAGGTGGGTATTGTATTAATTAACACAGCAGCTGGATTTTAACATTCGCTTCTCCAGCAATTTAATGTAGAAGCTGGAATGAATCACCTACTGGGAGGACACAAGATCACAGACTAAACTACAGTAACCATGCAATGACAGCAAAAGTTGCCTCCCCTGTGCTTCCTGCCACAACCAGCTTATAATACTCAACAAAACTACATGAAGTTCTTTTGGCTGTTCAACGTTTTCTTAAATCTGCCAGAATGAGTGCTACAAAAGTTGCTGGAACTTGGCTCTGGGGTACATACCAATATCATGTAGCAAATAATATTTCATCCTCTTCTCTTTCTAGATCGTCTTCCCTTATGACTTTTTTTCATGCTGTGTTTTTTTTTTTTAATGGAGGTACTTCTAAATAAAGTATGATCTGCCTTCACACCATTGAAGTTGCAAGACAGAACTGGTACATATCTCTAAGCTGAATTGGCTTGGATGAATTTTAACAATCTACCCTGTGTTTATATAGGAAGAAAGGGAGGGAGGGGGGGAAGGAGAAGAAGGGGAAGAAGGAAGGAAGGAAGGAAGGA